TTTGTATGCATATTATATGCTTAATCCCTGCAATTGTGTATTATATACGCATAATATTTGTACCCATTTTCCTGATGCGCCTAAGGAAATTATGGATGCTAAATTTTATGTAGATATTCTTCACAGACATACTCCAGAGATTAAGCAGATGCTAGGAAATAGATGGTGATTCCAACAGGACAATGACCCAAAACATACAAGCTGCCTTTCCAAAGCCTTTCCCCAGGAGAATATGCCTAAAGTTATGGACTGGCCATCCAACAGTCCTGACTTGAACCCAATTGAAAATCTTTGGAGTATTGTTAAGGGAAGTGTAGAGAGGCGTATGCCAAAAAATCAGGATGAATTGGAGTGATTTATGATAGAGGAGTGGTAGAAATATTCCCAAATCTACTCTAATTAGGACCTCGGACAATTATAATTGAACTGGTATTGAGAAAAGTGGGTAGTGATCTCGTTAAAACTAGGGTTTGTATTCATGGATACCATGAATACCATTAAGGGGTTACACACTAATAAAACAGCAAAAAATCCCTTAAAAACACTTGATTTTAATAGCGTGTAACCCTGTGTGACCTCCTTACGGTATCCGTGAATACAAACCCTAGTTAAAACACCAGTCAGATCTTCAAGCATTTACATAATAAAAATTGGGTTTTTAAAAAAAATGGCCCAAAAAGGTAACTCACTAGCCATTTTTAGTAAGATATTCTGAGTATTTTTCACAACTTTTTATGTTTTCTTACATACCAGTTCAAATATGATTGTCCGAGGTCCTCTCTAATTAACTTAGTAGGATCAATGAGATGGTTGTGAACTTGTAATCGAAAAAAATGGTGAACGCATATCATACTAAAAATATACTATATAGTAAAATCAGTTGGTTTTCAACTTCCAATAATAAAAATTTCATGTGATTTTGTCCACTAGTTACATTGTGATGAACAATTTTCTAATTCCGGTTTTTTTTGTCCCACACTGTATATAAAGGGCAGATAAAAAAATTAACCGAGAGTGACTTTCTGAATAAAGAAATAATAACAAGTTTCGACTTGATAAACACATCAAATCAAAAGTCTGATTCGCTCAATTTCATTGCCATCAATTATTTCGCATAATTCAAGGCAAAAATTTTCTAATATGATTGTCCAGGGTTCTCCTTATATCAACCTTTAATCACGTATTTTCTGGCCTTTCCCTAAATACTAATACTAACAGAATTTAAAAACGTCCCCTATTTTTTTTGCATGTGTAACGAAGATTCCGTTATAAAACGATTGACCGTTCGTTCATATCATGTTTTAAACTCTGCTATCTCTTAGAATTAAATTTTCAAGGAGTTTTTGAAACTTTTATCAAAAAATATTTACTATGCAAAATGGAGCATGGTTTCTAAGCCAAAAATGCTCTACATGAATAGCTATATATAGAGATGATGGTATTGACTCAAAATTGCTCAAGAATATTATTAATATTATTTATAAAAAAGACATTTTAATTTTATAATCAAAGACTCACGATAACGGTGGTATTCGATTAACGTTTCCTCAAAAGGCTCGTCTTAGAAGTTTAACGTATGCAACTAACAATAAATGTTTTTTACATGATGAAAGTCTATGTTTACCATATGATACAATATTCAACTTACTCTCAATTAACTATGTATGTTACACCTATTTATCCATCCAAAGAATGAATGGCTGGTAAGACGTCGTTAAATGAAATTTTCAATAAAAGAACCGATTTAGATGAAAGTTCTTGTGACAAAGCTTTTATTTGGAAAGGCAACAAATTAATAAATGAATTTATTTATTGATTAAAAAAAGAAATGCACAAGAGATCATTTTTAAATATAAATAATTCAGATTCCAGTAATATTGAAATCAGCATTTTGTGTATTACATGATTTAAAGGATAAAAGTCTTTATTCATCGAATGAATGTCCTTATTATCAGGTAAATTACTTTGTTATAAATTTATATAAATAATATACAGTGATATTTTATAATTAATGGCACAGAGAAAGTATTGATTGATTGCACAAGAAAGAATGGTCATAAATATTGTGTGTGTACTTTCAAAAGCACCAAATTCACCTTACTATTTTACAATTGAAATAGAAATACCATGGAGGAGATTCTATAAAAACTGCAGGAAAAGGAGTAAGTAGATGATATATTGAATTTTTACTATCTTATTAATTTCGTTATTTCATAATTTCAGTTATGTTAAACATTCCAAAAAGAATTATTACCACACTTATTTATAGATAATGGACACGAGAAAAAAAGCATTCTTTTTGGTTATATAGTTCATAGACTTTCACTTGATGCTCTTGATCGTGATCATTATGGTAAAAAAGTATGGACCTTTCTGATCCTCTTTGTTTCAGGACGTTGTTTCAAAAGACGTTTCTTTATATCTTAAAAAGTTATTGTTGTTACTACTATTAATTTATTGAATGTTTTTGTTTTTGTTATGATTACTATTTAATGTATAGATTCAAATTTAATTTCAATCTAAATTAGCCATTAAAGCACAACAATTCTAATGGCTTAAAATATTATCTTACTACGGGTAATTGACAGTTTAAAATTTTCTTGCATTTATTTTATTGTCAATTTAAAAATTTTTTTTAATATAGTCTCAAGCGAGTGTATCACGGGCACTTAATAGACACACTTGCATTCACATTATCGCATTTTAAGAATATGCAATACACCAATGGGAAAAGATGATAAAATTGCCAGGCCACGTCGATTATGATGATATATCCTGCTGAGACATCTGAAAGTTAAACTTATGATCTTGTTAAAAAAATCATTCATTGATCCATTGAAGTTCCTCAGAACAAATAATTGATTCCTTGGGTTTTAACAGTTTGATCCTTCAAATATAAAAGTTTTCGTTAATGGTATGAGTGGCCTGATGTATCTTCTCACCTGAAACACTCAAGACGTATTGTTGATGTAAATCCTGAAGTTAGTGTTGTAAAGGACATCCGTGAAAATCAACCGATCATATACAAAGATTAGATATGTACAAAAAAGTTTGTTTATTAGGAATTTGTTTTTGTTAATTTATGTATGTAATATGGACAGCTAGAAACTTAAAAAGAAAAAAGGAAAGAAAGAAAGAGGTGGTAGTGTAGTATCAGTTGGAGAAAGTGGATGGATACGAGAAACAGGACAGGATAGGGCATTCATAAAGCATCGGGCCCAGAAAATGAATGTCACTTACACTGGCAAGATTTAAAATCGATAGGATATATTGATGCAGAAAAAGAAGAGACACTAATTATTTACATGACGTCTAACGATTTAGCAGAATCAAGGGAAGATAATATGGTTAATGAAGGGCCTGGAACTGCAAATGCTATGACAAATGATGTCTCTGGTAATGTCAAGAGTAAATTGCATCAACATATACTCATCCCAATGTGATATAGAGATTTGCGCAAGTATATTACATTTCCTGATCATAACAAGGTAAATTAATCAACGTGAGATTTTAAAATTTTATACAATTTACAATAATGATTTTAATATAACCGATATTTTGAAATTTGTTTTCTTATGAAGAGGAATAGCCACCACGTAACACTTATCGATTTACCATGGCCCTGTAAAAAAACTGATCCGGATTTGAAATTCCATGTTTTCTCCAGGAATGTATCATATTCATGGGAAAATCATGGAATGATTACAGAGGAAAGATGGACTTTGTCACTGTTGTAAATTCGTGGAAATTTTCAAGAGTATTTCTGGAATTAAAATTCAAATAACGGACTATTTTTTTTTATAGGGTGAGTAGGAAGATGATGAGCTGATTGCATTTAGAACTGTTGTATGTGAAGTTGAAACTTTGAAATTTATAATTAAAACTTTGGGTGGGGTGTTTGGATATGAAATCCTGTTTGGCTGGCTGGCTAATTTGAATTTCACATGTGTGAATTACAAATTCACATAAATTTCATTTCATGCACAACAGAACTAAAGAATGCATCAATGGTGATTGGCAATAGCAGCAGGTATAATTGAATTGAGATGAATATCAGCTAGATATATTCAACGAAATGTTTCTACACGTATTAGAAGCACTGAAACTGGAATTGTTGATCAGGTTACGGCTACAACAATGCTGAAGGAATGAAATTTGCTAAAGGCGTAAGATGGGAGGTGATGTAATTTTATTTTTTCTGCGAGTTTTGGTTGTTATAGTATTTTGATAAGGATAAATAATATATGCGAATACGTATTTAAGTTTAATTTGAGAATAGATAAATTTCTAGTAGACACGGACAAAAGGTACAATTGTTATATGCAATTTACAGCTTAAGGATTATATTTGATATAATTATAAATTCATATGCTATTTCTCGTTATATGATAATTGGACATTCGGTCGACTGTTTGTTATAATTATATATAAGTTTAATATGTACATTGGAGACATATTAGGCAAGAAAGTGATCCACACCATTTATTTAAAAGAGTCGTGAATAACAAAACATTGATAATATAAATATTTGTGCCGCTAATTTATACCCTGCATGAGTATTATACGTCACGATCTTGTTATTCCAAACTCCTAAAATTTTGCCGAATAAGTGTCAAAATGTACATATTAAATTCATATGTATTATGATTACATCCCTTCAGCTGTAACGTATAATGCTCATGCAGGATATATAAATTAGCAGCACAAATATTTATATTATCAATGTTTAAACATTATGGAAGATGATAAGATTTTAACGAGTGTGTAATATTAAAAAAAAAATTGTAAATCTAAAGAAAAAAATATTCCGATGCAAAGCGTGCAAAAAGACTACACAGGTATAACATATTAATTATTCAACTTGCTTGTCCCTTTAATTTTTAATCAGATATCTCAAATATACATTACATACGCTTGTAAATTGTTATTCCAAGTAATGAACGTTTCTCCAAGAAATAGCAACAATCAATAGCGATTAAATAATAATAATGGTTGGTTATAATAATAATGCAATAGCAACAATATTTTATATTCAAAACTGACATTGTTTAGCATATTTGGAAAAATAAAATGTGATTCATGTATAATATCGTTTTGGTAATAAAAAATTGTTATCAGATTTGTTGATAATTTTGGACATATCGACATGCAATATACAGATTTAGTAGTGAATTTATTACATAATGACTATAATTAATGATTTTTGTTATGTAATAAAACATTACAGGAAAATATCAAAAGATCTGTTTTGTTTCACTCCTGCGTTTGATCGAACCAACCAATTTATAAAGAACGTGTTAGTAAAAAAAATTTTTTTTTTGATCTTCGAAAAAATTGAAGGTATTTTTTCCATTATTATTATACCATTAACGATAAAAAAAATTTTTTCGTTTTTCAATGTTTGTGTATACATGTGTTTTTAATGAATTTTTTTTTTTTTTGATGTATGAATGCAATATATTAATAATATTAATTTATTTCACACAATTTATTTACACATCAAAAAGAAATCCATAATAATAATAACGGTGACGGTATCGATACGGTATCGATGACAACATCGATATTAATGGATGAGCAACATACCGATTTAGTAAAAATTGTGTAGATGATGAATGATGGGAAAAAAAAATTTTTTTAAAGGGCGGGCGATGTATGATAATTTTTTTTCTAGGAGAGGTTTCTTTACGATTTGTACCCAAGATAATAAAAAATGAAAAAAAAATCAAGGGAGTTTTTCTTTGTATTATTTTTCATTTTAGCAAAAATATATAATAAACATAAATAATTAAGTAATATAATTAAATATATGAATGGACAATGATTATTTTTTTAATTAAATAACTGGTAATTTAAATAATTTTAATTTGAATAACTTGATGACTTGTGTTATGATGTTTTGATAAACAATTAAAAGATTTTTTTTAAATAATTCCTGGGCTACCAACTAATTCCATTCAGTATATTTCATTTAACTTGTTCATGTGAACAACAATCAATTGACCAATCAGAATAAATATAAATTTCTGAACTTCTAAATCTTCTCTGTCCTGTCTCTCTACACCTATTATTAACAACTTAATCAACATTAACATTCATTCATCTATTCAAATAATAATTTATAGTATTTAATGTTGGTATTTAATATTTTAATGATGATGAATGGCGTGAATGAGCGGATAAATAAATGGATGTATAAAATGGATAATTATGGGCAAAGAAAATGATCTTCAATGCATTCTTTTTAAAAAACAAGGACTTATCATAATTTATTTACAATAATAAAGATTCTTGAATAGGAAAATAAAACATCCTCAGGAGGAAAAATTATTATTATTAGAAAAACACGAGATTGAAATTTTCTTTTTTTTTTATGTTATATATAATTTGTGACTATATGCTGCTGGTGTTATCGTCATCATCATGTGATTTATTCATATGTCGACCATTCATTTGATTCTTCTTCTACACACGCACACACGCGAATCTTTTCAATAAATCAATCAATTATTAATTGTAATAATAATAATAATATATTCACTTTTGAATTTAAAATCACGCGTCCGCAATATTATTTTGGCCGTGAAGCCTCGACCAAAAAATGCTAAATCATTGCACGTACGTACACACACATGAATAATATTAAAGAGCACATCGTCATTGTATTATTATCACTTTTCTTGGCAAGCTAAAAAAGACTTTACTTTAATTGTTAAAGATAAGCTATTTAAAAATAAAATTTTAATCATAACCTAATATCGATAATACATCCTATTATTTTAATAATATATACTTTTTTTATCACTTGTCGATTGTAAAAAATATTTTATTTTCCCCCTGTTTTATCACAATTTTTTTTGAAAAAAAATTTTTTCTTTGATCATTGGACAATATTTTTATTCGATTCTTGTAACAAAAAAATTTATTCGCACATATGCAATGCATTTACATAATAATACTTTATAAGAGGAAAAAACCACGTTTAATATTGTCGAATTAATACTTATTTTTTTTAATTAATTTGTTTAAAGAAGGCTGCATGCAAAAAACACCTTTGTTTATCAAATTTTTCTTTGATTAAAAAAGACTTTAATTCTTTGTATGGAAAGAAAAGATCTTCAGCCAAATAATCTTTATTTTATAGACGTGTATATAAATTCTAAATAAATAAAAAAATCTTTTAATTAAACCCCAAAAAAATTTTATAATGATAACACTAATGTGTTTTTCAAGATTTTCAATTTTTTGATGATTTTTTAAAAAATCACTTATGCTATTCGTGTTGTCTAATCTTGCATACATATATATACTTATAATAGTGTGCGTGGTGTGTGTGAATATTTTTATCTTAATTGTTATCAATACTATTTATTAATTAATAAATTTACGTGACGGGCGTAATTAAAAACATTGATCATCGATCAGGCATTTATCTATCATCAGGAATAAATGATTAGCTGGCTGATTAGCGTGATTGATAATGATGAAATTTGATCATATGACTAATAAATACTGCAATATGGACTAGCTATTATTATAAATGTGGAAGATTTGTTGATTTCAAAGAATAATATAATTACGCAAGACTTATTTCATTATTTCACTAGTTTCTATTGTGTTTTTTCTATTTATCGTGTTACTATTTCTTTTACTTTTTATTTTTTAGTTTCTGTAAAAAGTTTAAGATTGAAAATTTAAAAATTTTGGAATTTTCTATTTTATAACAAACTAACGAGCTAACGAACTGAACAAACTAATAATAACGGACGAACGAACGAATGATAATCATCGACGTTAATCTAACTATAATAAGCCATATAATAATGTATAATGGTATGCAATTGATGTATGTATGTATGTGTTATAATCTACAATACATAATTTTATAATTTTTCACTAAAAATAAAATCTAATTAAGTAAAGTTCTAATTTAGGGGTTCATTTCTTTGTTGACTTTTTCACCGTTTTTTTTTAATGTTACACCGATTTGCATTTCTTGTTTTTATCAAGTATTATTTAATTAGAAATTAGTTAGATACCGATTATTAATAATAAAACCGTTTTATTAACAGATATGTTTTTTCCATATTCTCTCTCAATTAATATATATTTGGCATTTAAAGGTTGTTTTTTGAATTTATCAATATAAATTCTATTATGAGTTTGTAGCTTAGTGCTAATAATTTGGTGAGCTGCTGTTTTGTTACAATCGCTACTATTGTTGTTGGGTTTTTTGATGGGATTGAAGTCAATAAACAAATTAATTGGTGAGAATTTGTATGTGTGATAATAATTGGTTTCGGATCACCTTTTTTTTTATTAAAGATTTCTCTGATTTATAATTACACAATATATATATATAATATATATCATTCATTCATTCAATACACAATTACAATATATATATCATCAATATTGTAAATTATGAAGATTCTTGCTTAATTTAGAATTTTTTTTTTGTTTGTTATTGTTTTTGTTATAATTAGGATAAAATTTTTAACAGGAGCTATGTTATTTTTACTTATATATTTTTATTGCTTTATAATTAAGGTTTTTTAAATATAAATTTTTTTTTTGTCACGATTGCTTGCATTTATTCTATTATTATTTATTATAAATGGAAATTGTGATATTAATTACTCTTCTTTAGAAATAATTAATTAACGGGAGAGTGAGGAGGGAGAGAAGAAAAGGGAAACTATATTATTTGTTTGGAAGAAAGCAGTTACTTTATTTGCCATAAGAAAAAATCATGGAAATTAATTTTTCCATTCAAGCCAAAGATTTTGTCAATTAAAAAAATTTTTTCTTTACTTTAAATATCGATTTTAGGAAATTAACTAATTACCAAATACCAAATTTATCTATCAGTTAAAAACTTTTTGAATTCCATATAAAATTATGTGTCGCTTGAAACATTATAAAAAAATCAAGGCATTAGCATACAGACGCATATTAATTAATTGGCTAATTATTTAATGGAGGGTAGTAAGCGAAAAAGGATGATGTTGTGCGTAATGAGTGAGTGAGATGTAAGTTGGTGAATTAGAGAAAAAAAATAAGCAGGCGAGAGAATTATATATATACATACGCACACACAAAGGAGGATAGGTAATGAATGAATCTTTGGAAGTAAAGACATGGATATATATATCTACGTTACATAATATTGTAACGTGTGTTTTACAAAGATTTTTTTATGTAAATCTGCCACACATGTAAATACAAGTATTCAAATCATTGCTCTATTTGATATTTAAATTCTTAATTAAGCACAAATTTGGAATTAAGGTTGAACCAACAAAAAATCAAGATTATTCTTTATTCTTTTCTAACTGACATCGTACATTTGTCTTCTTTTTAATGATTTGAGAGTAATAAATGAATGTAGATTTAGAAAATATTTAAAAATATTTATTTTCTAAACAATAGTTAGTAATAAAACTATGAAAATATTTTATAATTATAAAGTCCAAAATAGGAAATCCATATTTAAATTAAATTAAATTAATATCTAATCTATTAAAAATTTAATTTAATTAAAAGTATTTGTTATTATTAACTAAATTATTTTATAATTAAACTGTTACATTTAAAAATATACCATTCAATAAACTTCTAAAAAAATTTTTTTATCACATGCTTTAAATATAAATAATTATCTATCACTAATAATAACATTATAATTATCACCTTTTTATCCGACCACCCCCTCCCCTTCACTTCCCCTTATCTCATCATATTTTTTGCAAACAAAAAATAAAAATAATAAAGTATAAATAAAAATATAATTAATGATAAAATTCAAAAAAATCATAAATTGAGATGAAATTTATTTTCCTTTCATCTTTTTTTCTTTATAAATTTTTTTTGTTCAGTTTGCTCGTTTCATATTGATTTTATTATATTTAGTCTTTTTTTTGACTTAAAAATAAAATTTCATATTTGGAAATAATAATTTACGATTAATTGATTATATATATATTTAATTTTTAAAGATCACGAAATTCAAACAGTTTTTTTTAACGAATTATTTTATTATTATTATTTTATTAATAGTAATTAATAAATTAATAATAATCGATAATTTGACTATCATTAACCATTAATCAATTCTTTACTTTCACGACTTTACTAATTGTCCACGTATCATTCCCTTCTTATCCTCTATCCTTCCGATTGACTCATAATCATAATCCTTCTCACCTTCTCCTTCTCGTCATTGTCATCTCTCGAGCTCTTAACGTGCAAATCATTTAAAAAGTATTTATTTTTTATTTTAATTTTTAATTTTTATTTTTTAATTTTTTTCATTTTTTATTTTTTATTTTTTTTTTTTTGATTATTAATAAATAAATAGCAATAATTTATTCCCATCTATTAAATACTATACTACTTACTACCTATTACTACACACAGTTTTTTTAATTGATGGTGATACCTCTCTAATATTTATCATCATCGATCATCACAAACATGTAATATACAATATGTTATAGATAGACTCACCTATATATTATCATCACAAACTTTTTTTTGACTTTTCCTTCCCCCAAAAAAATTTTTTTTTTTAATTTTTCGCGTTTTTTTTTTTCTCCTAAAAAATTTTTTTATTTTCTTCAAAACAAAAAAAAACAAAAAAAAAAACCTTATAATAATAAACTTCTCTTAATAATAATAATAATAATAATAATAAGAATACTATATCTTTATTTATTTAATATTAATATTTAATATATTTATTTTGAACAAAAGTTTCTCCGATCTATTTCTCATCAATTCCAACTCGCTACCTGATAAACGTTGAAAATTATTGGAGGACGAAGAGAACAGCCTCAATAATAACATTGATATTATAATATCTTTAACGTGTTTATTGATTTAAAGACAACAACACTCTGAAATTACTTCTCATTTAGGTAAAGAAGACAGTAAAAAAAATTTTTCGTAAAAACACGCGTATTAACACGTAAATATTAAAATTTCATTTATATGATAAAATGACTTTAATAACCTTTAAATGTATTTTTCTAGATATTCTAAAGAATATATATTATAAAAATGTGTATGTATACTTTATCACATTTTTAAATTGCTATTCAATTAGATGATCTCCGATAATAAATGATATTTTATTTTTTCTTTCCCTCCCACAAATATTATCCAGTTGATCCACCATTTGTTTATCCTCAAACGATCGTCAATAGTAATGATTCTTCTCATGCTACATCAGAAACAATCAACAACATGTCAACAATCAATTATCCAACCAATTATACACTAGATGGTCAATCGATCAATCATGCTTCAATCCATCCATCATCATCGCTAACATCACCACCAGGAACAACAATATCTAATCACAATCAATCACCTGTCAATCTTCAATCAATCAATTCATTGAATAATAATAATTTATCAAATATTCCACCGTCTCCGATTTCATTAGCCTCATCTTCGTCTTTATCATCGGCTTCTTTATCGTCAATTTCTTCAATAACACCAACACCAACACCGACAACAACTTTCAACTTTTTCTCAATTGATGATAATGATTTACCTGATTTACCACAACATACTGCACAATTACCTCCTCATTCTCTACCATCATCATCATCATCCCTAATAATACAACACCAACCGCATCATTTTTATCAACAACCTTATCAATACCATCCCCAACAAATCATTTCGCCTGCTCCCTCGTCACCACTCTCTTCAATATTTGATTATCGTGATTATTCTTCATCGTCGACTGCTGATGAGATTGATATGCCCGAGTTCTTGCAATATAATAGAGAAAAATATGAAAATTCAAGATCTGGTACTAATAGACGTAGAAGACGTCCTAGTAATAACAACAATAGTATCAACAATGGTATTGGTGCGAATAATAACATTATCAATAATAATAACAGTTATAATGGTATAAATACTAGCAATAATAATGGCTTTAATCATAATCATAATAATAATAATATTGCCAATACACAACACTTTCAACAACAACAATTACAATTAAATGATAATCAATTTGATAATTCTTCGATGGATGAAGTTTACGAAATGATCGACGATAATAATAATAGTATTGCTAGTAGTAATGATAATAGTATTAATAATAGTAGACAAGGATCCGTTAACTCATTAAATGATGATTCTAATAATTTCACGTAAGTTATCATATAGTTATAACGGATTTAATAAATAATTTATAATTATAATTGTAATCATATGTATCACGTTTTTATTATAGTTCATTATCGCACGCAGAATTTAGACGTCAAATACATATACAATCTGAACAAAAAAGGCGTGCTGAAATCAAAGATGGATTCGACGAACTTCGTAAACAACTTCCAATCACCTACGCCAATCGTAAAATGAGTAAAGCTTTACTGTTACAAAAAGGTAAAATTAGAAATTTATTTACTTATTTATTATGTATGTTTTTTAGAAGGGAACAAACTTATTAATTAAAATTTTATTAAAAGCTGTTGCACATATGAAGAATATGCAAAGAAAGGAAAATTTTTTGTTGGATGAAATTAATCGTTTAAGTCAAAGATGTATTTATATGAACGCTGAATTGGAAAATGAAAAAAGGTATTATACCAGATGATTGCATTATTTTATTTTGAAATTATTCACAATTTCTAACATGCACATGTTTTATACAGGATGAATTATTTATACAGACAAAAACACAATCTTAACAAACTTTATCAAATTGGTTTATAAAATAATGAAACGAATAAATTATTATATTATGTATTATATGGATAGCGTAGACATGTATGATGATGTAAGTATTTGGAATACTTTATCATCATAATCAACTACAATTTTATTATTAATTGAATTAATTAAATATTGAAGAGATTTATTTGTGCGTGTGCGAGAAACGAATTTATTTTTCTTTACTTTTTTTATTATTACAATTATTTAAAATTTGAACAAAAAGATATGATTATTATTTTGTTACAAGTATTAACAATATATAATAATTAAAAGCAAGATTAATAATTGAAAAAAATTCTATTTTACTTTTTTTTTTTTTGTAATTATGATTTTTTCTTTTCTTTTTTAGAAAATATTACGATTTTTATTTTCTATTTCTATTTTCTTCAATTTTTTGTAAAAAGCTTTTTCTTTTTTAGGTCATTAATTAAAAATATACACGCAATTTATTATTAAAAAATGGTTTTTTTTTTGTTTGGGGTTATTTTTATTTCGGGGTTTTCAGGGGCAAAATATACAATTATCTTTGTATATAAATTTATGAAAAAAAAAAATTTTATGAAAAAATTTTATATAATAATTATTATAATTTAATAAATTAAAAAAAAATAAAATCATTAATTTATCACATTTCGCGTACTACGTCATATTATTCGTAACATATATACAGAATACGCATTATATTATATACGGCAAGAATGAAATGACAGTTGATTTTTAAGAATTTAAGAACGAATCATTTGATCTGATTTTGATAATTTACTTGTCAATCGATATATTATACTGTACCAATTTATATTATAATTTCGCTGATCTCCCTGCGACAATTAATCATTTGTCACTACCGATCACGAACATCAACTTTGATCAACAGATAAAAATCCATTGGCCAGCTATATATTTGTCACGTGAATCTTGTTAATAGATATATTGTGGCAAGCAACTAGAAATGACTGAAAAAGTTCTTTTGTTTCATTATATTGGTTGAAATCATATGAGCATGTCTTGATGAGCCATATGTAATGACTTTATCAGTGATTCAAATTGCAAACTTATCAACATATACAATCTCTCAACAAATCTGAGATCAACTCTCCAAACCAAAAAAGGTACCAAAAACTCTTCTCTTATTTTATTTTGGTTTTGTACCCTTTTGTTTATAAGTGTTCTTTCTCCATTTGTATCTGTGATATCATATTGGTTTATTTCTTTGAAGGAAATGGGTAGCTTTTTTCATATGGAGCCTGAAGAAGGTCCATCAAAGTATATCTTGTGCAAAAAGCAAGTTTTCATTGCCTGCTGAAACTCCTCCAGAAATCAATTAGCAATCAGCAAAGTTTCACATTTGTAGGTTTTGGCATTTGGCAGAATTTTGCAGTCATAAGAGGTTTCAGCAAGCAACTTTACTGCTTGTCAATAGATAGAAATTCCATAAAGTCAGACAAAGGTTTTGCTTCAATGCAGTTGTACAAGATCTAATTTCTTTATTAATTTCATCATCCTCATCTTCATCTCTTTCAATTCTTGGTTCCAACTCACCTACCACAACCTCATCCAAAGTATGATATTATTAGTTTGATTCTTTTTGTAAATCCTTGTCTGCAAAATCATTGCTTTTACTGTACTCTCTTCTTCACCATCAGGAAATTTTCTGGTGTGAATTTACATTATATTACATAAATTTACGTTGGGTCAACATTTCACGTTACACTTGATCAAAAGTTTTTTAAAAAATTGTCACACGAATTTTGAGTCGCAAGGAGGGGTGGGGGGTTGGCTCTTATATCAACACCTAATCACGTATTTTCTGGCCCCAAGTATGTTTTGAGTGCGTAGAGTTATACTATCACTATATAAATATTTGTATGTTTATATAGTAAATACTTAAAAGGTTACACTCTTGAGAAAAAGAATTCATGTAAATAAATACTGAAAATGTTCTTAAACTATTTTGTAGGAGAAGTTTCCGTTTTAACCATTTATTATTATTATTATTGTGTGATGTTTGTGGTAACATTAAATGATTTATAATTTTTGATTTGTGTGCTCTTTTTTATCTTTCATTTCCGTGAGACAATAAAGCAGTGTTGTGGCCCAATAAATTTCAATTGGAATAAAGCATTCAATTGGGAACATTCCAAATGATGGAATTAACCAATGAAAAAATAGATTTCAACTGTACAAAATAAAAACCACGTTTCACAATTTATGTATGAATAAAAAAAATAACGGTAATTTTTTAAGAAAAATAACAAGTCAAATAAAAATTCTCGGATAATTCATAGTTTATTAGATGCATTGAATGAGAAAAATAATTCTTAAACATCAAAAAGTTGACATTTATTTTTTTTTAAAAAAATTATAAGGTTACACCAATTTTTGCTTGATGTTTTATGGAAATAATATAATGATAAAAGCCACATATAAATAATTGTTATGGGATGAATGAATCAATTACACAGCCTTCCTAAGGTTGCTAAAGGTAGAACCCGTTGTGAAACTTATTTGAATGTTTTACCAAAGCCGGTTTTTGAAAGTAAAAAAAAATCATTTACCGGTTACATTTATTCTACAACATACGTTACATATACAGTAATTAAAATAATACCATCGCGCGTAAAAAAATTAAATGACTCTATAATTGCTACATAATGAACCTTAATCATCAAAAAAACTTTGATGTGTGTAAAAAATCTAAAGCTTCTTCTCCTTTTTTTTTGGACACAAATAAATAAATGGATTGGTGTTGATGGAATAACCTTCGTATTTTGGAGGTACAAAAAACCATAACTTTCAATTTAAGCAGAAAGATTTAACTGGTTAAAAAAGTAATTGACTTAAAACATTTTTAAGTGGTGAATGTTTCTATAACCATAACAAAAATCAAAATAATAATGAAAGTTTCAACACACACACACACACCTAAATGAATGCATTATTACGCAAAAAATGTAAATTTTTTTTGTGTAATTATTATTATGAAAGTTTATTTTTAGATCTATGATCTTATGATCTTCATTCAGGATAATTTTTTTTTAAGGTTTCAAAATGTCTAATTTAAGTGAAATTGAACGTGGTAAGATTATCGGCCTTTCTATAAAGATGATAAGTCAGTCAAAAGTAAAGTGTAATTCGAACTATACAGAATTATAAAGAGGGAAAGGTAATGTTGCAAACTTACCTCAAAGTAAATAGAATAAAATTCCAATGTTTATTTAAAATTAATTGAATACATGTCTCATAGAATACATGCATTGCGAGTAATGGATGGTATATTACATTAATGAGACTTGGATGTTTTAAATTTTGTCCAAATAAAAATATAAAATTCTGTACATATTTAATATTTGTGCAAATTGAAACTTTGAGGTTAGCACCTTTAATTGGTTAGCACTTTTTGATTAACCATCAAATCCCAGTGTTACAAAATTTTATTTAACTTAGAATACTTAGAATACGAAATAATAAAACATAACCTATATATTAATATATTTATGTGATGAAATAAATATGGGTAACGCTGTTGCCGTTAGAGTTTCCCAATTCTTATTCGAATTATTCATAATACAATTCAATCTTAATTCGAATTTCGAATTATTCGATTTATTGTTTTATCCGTTTTACCCGTTTTATTTGTTTTATCCTTTTTATTTGTTTTATCCGTTTTATTCGAATAAACATTCAATGTAATTCGAATATTCAAATTCGTAACGAATAAAACAAATAATTCGAAATTCGAATAGAAACCCTACTATGAATATTTGCTAGTAAAAAAAAATTAAGTTACAATTATTATTGTCATTACAAATACTACGAAGGAAAAATAGAACCTATAAAGAAAATTTTTTTAATTGGGTTGGATAATGCGCGCATATACTCTTACTATCAGTTATATTATTCGAATGGTAAAAAATTTCACGCGTTTAAATTAACCGGTTAACTCTTAATGTTAATATTAAATTTAAACTTAATTTTCACGGTTAATTAACCGGTTAAAGAATTTTTGCACGGTGCCAATCTCTACTTTGAATGAAGAAGAAAATGTCAAGCATTTAGACATTACTATAGGTAATCAAAGGATCAACCATTTTTATAATGTAAAATTTTAACGAATGCGACATCTTGAAGAATTCGCTAAAAGTACTAATACTTAATATTAATGTTCTTTGTGTTACTAGAGAGAAAAATAAAATTACTATTGCTCCCAATAAATATAAAAAATATATGCAGAAGAAAAGATAATTTGTGGTGAATTAAAAAGGTAAAGAAAGGAGTCAAAATTTATTTCTTTTAAGTGCATCAGGAAAATAAATCTTACATAAACCTACATAGGGTTCAGAATTGGCCAGTATTATGTCGATATTTTGGTAATTCTGTTAACATTTCCGCATAATGCTGGTCAGTTTTAAACCCTACGTAGGTTTACATGAGATTTATTTTCCTGATGTGAATCATGATATGACAGGCTCAGGGTAAGATAAAAGTCCAATTTACAAGTAAAAGCACAAGAGAGATGCTCATGGAATCCCGAGTTTGTAGATTAGATAGTACACTGTGAAGCTCGTATAGATACAAGTACTACCATCTTGAGTCGATGGAATTGAATAATTTTTTGTGTAACTTTGTGTTTTAATGTCCAGATTAAGCTATTTAAATGTACAGAGAAAATAATCATTTAGCCTCGTTAAGACTAAACTAGTATTAGTATTCTAAGTCAAGGCAATTGTTACTAAATTAGGGTTTTACCTTTACGCCAGCAGCCCCTGTTATTTGGATCAAAAAATCACAAATTATCTATCTATAGGTAATAAATATTATTTCAAACATTCAAAAATACAAATACATTATAATTGTTGTCCGATTTTTACTCTTATAAAACACAACCCAACTCTTCTTTCTTTTTGAAATACAAATGATTTCACGCAGACACATAAAGACAAATACAAAAAAGAGCACGATGAAAAAAAAGCAATCAAATCTTTATTTTTTAACGCTATCTTTTTCCTTTTTTGAAAACCCCAATTTTATTCAAAAATGAATCATCATCATCATCATCATCATCATCACTATTGTTATTATTATTATTGATGTCACTTTTTAATATTACAAATGTTTCTTTCATATCAACACCGGCAGTACCATTTAAATGCTATGATAAAACCAGTTTAAAATTAGTTGATTGCCAATTAGTTACAAAAGAACCAAAAAGCCCGTTAAAATCAAGCCGGCAATAACAATATGTTTGTATTTACTGTGGATTACCAAAGCTCAAAATCTGATACTTGTGAAAAAAATAAAACAAACTTGGGCATGATAGGGCAAATTCCTTCTAATTTATTGAACCTGTAACACCATTAGTGGTAAATTTATTAGGTAATAAATATTTTATTTGTTTAAAAAATTTAAAGAGGATTTTCTAAATTACCTCTCTGATTAATTAATCTTTGCTTGTTTATTGGGTTTTGCAAGAGCAACCAGATCAATTTGGTTGAAAGGTGAAGACTGAATAATTAGACTGTATCCATAATAGTTTGTAAAACAATTTGGATTTGTAACACATCCAGAGTTTTCACCTACCGACATAACAGCAAAATTTAACTCCAATGTTGATTTTTGGTTTGAAGACGATGCAACACCAATTACACAAACTCAAACATCATTTGTACTATTGATGATACACGAAATCATGCACAACTTGGGATCTTTATCATAATGGAGTTCAAAAAGCTTTGGAAATGTATGAAATGCAAGGCTATGTTCGATAGATTTGTGATAGTATTGCCAGATGGTACTCCATTATCCAGCTTCACAAATGAATTAAATGCTTTTGCACCAATAGGCACATGATTTATCTCAATGGAAGATCTCTATGCCCACTTTAAAGCATCTCCTCAATACACAATGGCAACTGATATATTATCAAGTTTCTTAGCAAAAGGTTTGGATTTTCAAACAATCGTGGCAAATGCTACTACTTATGATCAATTGTATCATTTGGAAACTAGTTTACCAACTTATGACTCATTGTGTTAGTCATGTGAGCCTAGGTTTGTATGAAAAATCAAGCGAATTCATAATGGTTGATGAAATAGAGAATTACAAGATGCAATCACGGATGGTGGAAACTATGTTGGAAGAGCAATTGAACCCCAAACTTAAATCCGTTCTTGAATAAATAGGATATGTAACTACTGATAATATAACCCTAGAAATATCAACTTTACCTGATATACCAATTTTATGTACTTTTCTGTTTATTTATAATGTAGACAGACATTATTTACTTTATACATTTTATACATTCTATTTAATATAATAATTAAAGTTTGTTGCCGCGCAAATAAGAGGTAGTTGAAAAATAAAGACCACTCTTGCAGAGTTGTCTGATTCGAATCTTTATTTTTACCTATCGCGAAAATCTTTACTTTCATTATAATATAATCAGAGAAGGATAATCGTGAAGTGCCACAACGTGTTAAAGACTACAATGGGTTGGACATTGAATGATAGAGCCACTTGTGAGATTTTGACTTATTAATAATTGATTAGTTTGGTAATAATTTTTTTTAATGTACATATCCGAATATTATTAACATTTACCTTCTGCTTCTATATACACCTTGTTATAAATATTTTACTAATAATAAATAAAAGAAATGGCTTGCATTATAAGGTGATTCTGGTGCTACAAATTGATGGAATTATTACAAGCAAAGAAAAAAATCTATTTTTTTTGTTATAATTTAAATATAATGAAAATAAAATCATTTAATGGATCATTAAAAACATAATTCACAATGATAATATAATAAACTTAACATGAAGAAGCAAATACCTTTTTTTTGGTAGAAAAAAAATTAATTAATAACAAATTAATAAAATATTTGATAATAAATACCTTTAAATTCATTAATATTATCATCACCAGTAAAATATTGGATTTGTTGTTCTTGATTTTCTTCCTCCTCGTCATCTTTATCCAAAAAGAATAAACTTATAAAAATTTTTTTTTTGAATTTTTAAATAATAATAATTATTTTCAAAGACTTTTTTATAAAAATTTTTAAAATTCTCAATACTGCTGCTGTTGCTGCTATTATTATCATTTCTTCTTTCATTATTACTATTATTGCTAATGTTATTATTGTTCCAATTCCTATCATCGATTATCTCGACATTAGAATCTAATAAATTAAGATATTTAAATACAAGATCATTCGAAAATTATCTCGGGTCTATTAGTTTCATTCGCCCAATATTCTTTTCAACTATTATTATTATTATTGGAAAAGTGATGCTATAAATAATTAGTATAATTTATTTATTATATGAATGATTGCTTACACTGTTGCGACGTCCTATCATTTGGCTTGTGTAAACAAGATAATTCATTAAATCTGAAATTGTTTCGTGTCTTACGATCTATCGTAATCATGGTAAAATTGGTCAATGCTAAATAAAAGGAATTTGTTTTTTCCAAATAAATTAATATCGATTATAGGCCAAATTATAGTTTAGGTGATAAGAATAATAGTAGCGTTTTTTTCGCTATATTGCTGTTAGTATTATTAAAAAATTTTACTTACTATTTCATCTTTAGGTCAAATAGATAAATAAATGCTTTCAAATTTTCAAATTTGGACATCTAAAATAATATCTATAATATCTACAAGACCATATAGATTTAAATAGTGAATATTAGTAGTTTTCTTTTTGATTTTATTTTAAAAGATAAATAAATAATTACTATTAATAAAGGTACTCCGGTATAAGTACATATTACCTCAATTGAATGTTGTTTGATGTAATAGCATGGTGGTGGCTCAGTGCCTTTATTATATATGATGTTTTTAATGTAACCGAGAAGATAAAGAATCATCGTGTGATTATAACAAAATAAAATAAATATCCAATATCGAGAATGCATACAAGGTTCGTCTTCATAAAGATAACTTGATTTAAATCTAACATTGGATTACATCTTGCTGAATCAACAACATTGAATCTAAATAAATAAATTGTTATAATAATGATGATAATGATAATGTCATTGCCATTATTAACAGCAATAACTACGAGAGATGAATCAAGTTCTCCGGTAAGAATAATTATAATCCTTGGTATATTATTCTCGTCATCGTAATCGAGTCTTTGATTCACAGATAATTCAATAAATTCCATTGGAACTAAATTTGTCGAAGAAAAATCAAGAACTTTCACTTTCTTTTTCTTTTTCAAAAAAAAATTTTTTTTGAATAATGTCATAATCAATTATAATTAATTGCGATTAGTGAACTACGTAACCATTATTAATTCTGATAATATTTAAGGAAATAAAGCATGTGCTGTAATAAATCCCACTATAACAAACTTTTATCTCTTCTCTTTATAACGACTATTACTATAGTGAACAAACGCACGAAATATATATATATATATGTGACAGAAGGTTCTTTTGTATAGGTATTTTTTTATATTAAAAAAAAATTAATAATATTATTTCGATATATGTTTATCTTGAATAAAATTTTTTATTCCCTTTTTAATAAAAAATATTATCTTTACCCAAGTCCATTTAGAAATTAATATTAATGCTTAAAAATGACCTTTTAATTTCAAGGCTATAAGATCTGCATTCATGCTTTATGCGATCATTAAAATACATAAAATTATTAATGCTTCAATGGTTATTTTTTTTTCACAAACATTAATAACAAAAATAACTCAAAGATACTTGTAAATGTTATAGTTTGCTTTTATGTTTTTGCTTGGCATCTTTAGTTTGTAAAAAAGCAGTTGTATTAGGAGGAAGATGATGAAGTATAATGTTAAAATTGTATTCTCTTCAAGAATATGTACTCATGCATTATCAAATAATAATAATATGTGTCTGCCTCTTTTCGCCATTAGCTCATCTAACTTCTTGAAGCTCACGTCCAGACTTTTGAATTCCAATAATAATCAACTGGAAGCTTTGACTTATCAACTCCTGACATGTCTCTTGGTGTTTGATATTTGTGGATAGAGAGGAAGTTTCACAGTTCCTGTTGGATTTATAAGTAATAAAAGGGTTACCCTTTTTTTTGATTTAACACAAGAAATAAGACCAGTTGGTTGTGTTTTTGAAAGTTCCAATTCACAAAGCAAGCCTAATAAATTAAAAAACTTTGTTAATTTACATAAAGATTATTAGTAAATTATATTATATAAATGAATTCACCAGTCTCATCACAATTATAAACATCTTCCAAGGAAATCATTCCTTGTAATTTACTTTGTACGGGATATGCTGATTCTACCATGTAAATTGTATTATGCTTTTGTTTATAACTTGAAACCCATTCACCCGAGCCTTAAAATCATCAATTCCAAGAAATTCGGCAAACCTTTTGTATTTTTCAACAATAATATCACCTGTAATTATTCTTTTGGCCAAAAATGCTTAGTTAAACCATAAAATCAATGCACATACAATCTCAGGATACTTTGACAATTTATTTATTAACATCTAAGGGATCAACTGCTAACCATTTTTTTCCTTATCTTTTAGTATGTTACAAACAGTATTTTCTGCGATTCTGCTGAACTTTAGTCCAAATTCTTTATATGGGTGAACGATGGATTTTTTTCGTAAATTTCACAAAGTTCTTTTCTTTTTTGATGGATCAATTGGTAACATTACTAAAAATATTAATAAAAAGAGAATATTCTTCGGTTCCTTTCTTTATTTATATATTAAACATTATGCGAGTAATTTTTAATCATATTAATATATTATGTGACATTATGACAAAAAAATCCATTCAAATAAAAATAAATAAAAATAATCCAAGTAATTGTTGATAAAACCATTCGAATATAATGACCTTTACTAATTGTTAGTAATATATTTTTTTAATCGGAAATTTATTATCGATCATTTATGGACAATCAGATTTACGCTACCAGCCCTGGTGTTAGTGTAACTCTTTATTTCTGAGTATTGTTCTTTGTAGTTTCAAAACCAATACTCGAAATATAGATTTTCACGTTATGGTCTTTTTCTTCTATTTCTATTATCCAGACCCCAATGTGTGCACAATCCTAAAATATTTTAAGTGAAGGGTTGTGCCATTAACTCAAATTGCTTTCTTCGCATTATGTTGAAAGTAATAAATTTGTAACTAATATATGATCGACATTGCACGTTTTCTTACAAATTGAACAAAATGAAAACAAGAAAACGAGAAGATCAAAAATAGTTATACAACAAACAACTCCAACAACAGCAAAGTGTTCATCCAGTTCAAAAGTATCTTCTACTAATAATGACAATGGCAAAGTGTTTACCCAGTTCGAAGGTCTGCTTCTTCTACTAATAATGACAAACAACAACAACGGAAAAAGTATTTACCCAGCCAAAGGACAGCTTCTTCTACTAATAATAACAACAAAATATTCAAAGGACAACTCCTTCTATTAATAACAACAATAAGGCTTCGAACAGGTCATATCGGATCAGATTTGGAGATATTATGTATAAATAAAATTTATAAAAAATCATTTATGAAAGAAAAAATTTTTTTAAAATAATTTTATGAATTAAGAATTTCTTTATGAAATTTATGAATTACTTTATGAATTAAAGGTATTATAATGACAATCACTAATTAATAATGACTTGGATTTTTCAGAAGGTGCAACAACAGATAACTGTTGAAGCAGGCAATGATGAAAAAATATTTTGGAACAAATAAGATTTATATCTACAAATCCTATCTGATTCAAGATCTGATTTGGATATGATATGATCTGGTTTGGTCTTGGCCTGGTCTGGTTTCGATTATACATGCAGCCAAATCCAAATTGATTTGTGAATTTCATAATATTACTGCATCTGAGTGATAGCTGTAATGTCATAATTAGGCCATAATGTTATAATATGGACCAAATGTAATAATTATTACACTATCACCGACATTCTTTCTATATTATAACAATATAATATACACAAAAAAGAAAGTTCCAAAAAATCCCAGTTAGATGTGGGTGGGACCGATCGAAATTATTGATAATAATGGAACCATATCTAAAAATACATTATGGTAAAGTAAATATATACGAGACATCTGATGTTGTGGTAAGTTTGTGACATAACAATACGTGATGGTGATTCTTCCAGTCATCCAATTAATTATATTTCACGGGATAATTAATTACAAATCCAAAATTTGGCGGATAACCAAGTAATCACCGATTATTTTGGTGCCAAATTTTTAATTTGAACGATTACTCGGGCGTTGAATTTTATTATTATTATTGATGACCAATTACTCAAGCGCCCGGATAACCAACGGATACAACCACTATGTTCCTTATGTTTTTTCTGGATAATTTTTACTTTACCTGTAGAAAAAGCAAAATTCGTTATTGTTAACAAATCATAATTCGTACGTATGCCATTGTAGTAATATTACTAGAATAATAATGAAATTCTACAATTATAAATACCTTTCTTTGCCGTACCTAGTCATAGCATAAATTTGACCTCAAATTCTGCACAAAGAAAAATTAGAAATGAAACTGCACATAGGGGATTCAGCGAGATAAACACGATAGCTTGTGTGGAGAAATATATAACCGATGTTTTTTGTCTTAATCGTTAATGTATTTCCATTATTTTAGAACTTTTTTAATATAGTCCCGCATCATTATAAATGATTTAAAAAGCTTTCTTTCTATTGCTGTCACAAGATATTCTATCATATAACTTTTCTAGTTTACATGCTGTGTATATCAATGCTCTGTTTCTTGGCCTACTCTAGTCCATTGTTGAGAAGAAATATTTGACTTGATAGTAGTCACTGACGCTACTTTTAATTTATTTTAATATGCAATAATAGAAAGAATATGTAGAGGTTTTGAATTCTTGAATCATCCTTCACAATTTCCATTAATCTTGTAGTTTTCTAGTAGCTTGTTTCGATGAACATGCTATATACTAACTACAATGTTTGCAATTTCTTGTGCCAATAATTTAATTAATTTTTTTTTTGCAAGGGAACAAACTCTCCTTTGCTAAAGCAAGATTCCTTGGTATTTGGCCTATATCTAAAAAAAAAAAATAGATACAGGTAATCAATTTGAAATTATCGCAAAGCTTACGTTACTAGTATCATTATTTTTTGAAATAAAGTTAGTATTAGAAACCAAAATTTTTCTAAGGGGGTTACACATATCCAAATAAGATGATCAACCTAAATAAATATTTCTTTCTCATGTGGAAATTACATTGATTTATAAACTATAAACTCTAAAAAAAAAAAAGGAAATTGAATTAAGAAACTTGTATTTAACAAATTAGCAATAGCGATAACAAAACAATGCAACAACAATAACAACAATATAAAAATCACCATGAGAATTTTATTGGATAATAACAATAATAACAACAAACAAAATTCAAAATTTTATTTGTTATTCCCTCCATGATTGCTAAACGAGCCTCCATTCAAATTGTATTTTTATTGCATATACTTCAAAGTAACCGGTTTATTTTATATGATTCTTTTTTTTTTACGAAATACTCTTAAAAATCAAGTGTGAGAATAAATTCCCATGTTTTTACTTGATGCCAATACTTTTATAATTGTAAGAGAAATTGAAATTTGTTGATTAAAAATTGATCTATCCAGTAAGAAATCTTGTAATTTTATATATATATATTCCCTCTTTTTAATAATCCATTGTTTATCTATGTCTTCATTCCTATTAAATGAGCAATGATTCTAAAATCTATTGTAAAGACAAATGTAACCACCTGCATTCCCATTATTGCTAAAAAACTGATCTCGTTCGCCAAAGTCTTTTAACTAGTGAAGAAAAAATATATATCTGTTTAGAATGATTTTTTTTTTTTATCACGTTCACATAACCAGTTTTTTCTATTTTAAATAGGTGCTACGTATATAATTCTTTGTTTAATATTAATTATATGTATATATATATATATATATGAAAGTTAATTAGAGCCCAGTATAATGTATAGATAGTAATAATATTCCTTTTTCCCATCATCATATGTCATTACTGTCGTCTTTTCTTTTTTTAGATCATAAAAAACACGCACGGTTGGCCCATTACTTTCATAACCACAAAGGCGTAATTAAATAATTACTGAATTACAAGAGTGAAAGAATGTTACTCTTCCTTAATTTGTAATTTCATTTTTTTCCTAATCTATCATAGGATCTTTCCCATGTTTATTTTTCGTTTAAACTTAAAATAAGATAACAAAAGGTTATTTAGATTTTTTTTCATCCAGTCAGCGCCGGGACTTGGTTTTTTTAAATACCACCCAGTTAAATTTTGTGTAATTATTATTGTTTATTTTAAAAAAATTAGTAGTTGTCTAATACGCCCGGAAGTTAGACCTTGATTTATTTATGAGATACAAATATATATATATATAAATGTGTACAACCTTATTTTTGCTGAAAATTTATATAAACATAGGGTCCCGATCAGTCTTAGGAGATGACATATTTTAATTTAGAGTAAAATTGCCTTTTGTTTTTGATGATGGTATATTTAGAAAACCGGGTATCGGTCTCAAGTGGTACATTTGACCTCAAAATGTATTAAGCGGTGCAACGATTTTTCCTTTTTTTATAAATAAATAAGAAATGGTAAAATTGTATATACTAAATAGCGTTTTTGAACCATGGATTTGTTCAAAAAGTTTCTGATGATGGTACTTACCTTGCATATATTTAAAGCGCGCCTTTTGATGTAGATTGTATAAATCTGCATATAAAAGGTGATGGTGAAAAAACACCCAAGTAATTACTAAATTGATATTTGTCATCAATAAAATTTTTTTCATGCATTAGTCTTTGTGATTACAAGTATAAATCATATATTAAACGTACTGACTGTAACATTAATTGGTTCGTCAACTATTTCCTTTGGTTTTTCCTATAGGTTTAAAAATAAAATATTCTTAAAATCTGTTCAACCAGAACATCTTGAATAAGAACTTGTCAATCAACCAAAATGGTGAATTCAAAGTCTGTCAATTCGAAGTGCAGATTGTAAAAAGGATATTGCATGTCTCAGGTTTTAAAATATTATATTTTAGTAAATTCATTATTTAATTATGTACTTTTATTATTATTTGCTAGATAACAATCAGGT